AGGTAGTTTAATGTTGAAATTAATAATGAGTTATATGAATACATGGCCTAAAAAATAAGGAAAAGATGGACAAATTATAATTAACAATTTGGCTTTTCCTCCGGCCTATGATCGGATTGAGGGTGTTGTTGGGTTTGTGAGAGCCCACCATGAGTCCCGTTTTGATAATTCGAACCATTCAATATGTAAAACTCGTTAAGTACTATATGCTTGAAAAAAATCACATTCATCGGATATCGATAGGTACGTGATCAAATCAGCTTTGTAAAATAAAAAATAAATAAACGGTGAAAAAATAAACAGTTGACAAAAATTTAATTTGATGAACTAGCTATCAGTATCTGATTAACGTGATTTTTAATAAACATATAGTACTCAACGAGTTTTACATTTTGAATGATTAGATTATTAAAACGAGACCCGTGGTGGGGCCCCACAAACCTCACAAGTCCAACAACATTGGACTGGAGGGATGCCCCGCCCAAAATTATCATTGTATGAATACACCACATGGACACATAGTGCTCCAAACACATTAGATAATTTTTTTGCCAGACTAGGGGCTAAAAAAGAAAAGGGAAATGCTATGAATTATTTGGGATTTTTAACATAACTCAAAGCAAAATTCTCTCTAACTATGTGTAGTTACAAGTCCATCAAACAGAGAATAGTACGGATATTTATGAACTTATTTGATTAGGTTTTATTGTAAACCAAAAATCAAATTGGTTCCTACTGTTTCAGATTTTAATAATATAAGAAGTGCAAAAATTATATATAGTGAAAAAAAAAATATATCCACATATTTTTATATAATGAGAAAATAATTTGTTAATATGATGAATGGAGAGACCTTATCGACATCAGAATAAGATCAAAGTTCGAAGAAACTAATGAGAAAAAAAGAAACAAAAAAAGAAAAAAACTAATAAGCATCTTGTAGAACACCGTATAAATTTTAAATTTAATGAAAACATTCAACGATTCGGTTCATTTTATTTTATTCTTTCAAGCCCTAATATGTGAATTAAACCATAATCAACGATTCTTTAATTACAAAAAACCGAAATCAAACTGCACTCAATAATTTGAACTGATTCAGATCAATTTCTCAATATAATTGTAGAGAGAGAAAAACAGGACAAGAGATAATCACAACTAGTATTACCCAAAAGGGTATATGATAATGAAATCAAAGTGAAATTTGAAATTACTTTAATTTTACCAAGTGAGATGATTTAGACCTAACCACCTCAACAGATTGACTAGGACACTTCCAAATCAGGTAGCCGAAACTAAGGGCGGTCGATTGGTTCTCTCTCTCACATAAGGCATTTAAAAGTTTCCGTACTCCATGGTTTCTCTGCAGATGCTGGTAAATTTCTCATTAAGCATTGCTAAACGAAGATTTGGTGTAACTAAAATATCTCACTATGATGTCTATATTTATATATACTAACAAAATCACTTCCACCGCCCATCTGCTACCCACATATATCACTGTCAAAGTTAGTTATGGGAACAAAAATTGAAATGTAAAAAAAATGCCAAATTTTATTTCTCGTGGAAAAGAAAATCCAGCTGTTGGGGGCACGGCAGGGAATAAACTTTTTTTTTGTACGGGAATATTTGGATGGGTGATTTTGATTCGCATTTACAACACATTTGCCTGCATCATCCACAAAGATCATGATTTCATTTTAATGGTGATCTTAAGAAAAATGAGTAATGTTAGGATTTTAAAGGTTTTATCAAAATTTTTATTAAACACTCACGTGTGTAGGTGGTTTGGTAAAAATTTTAGTAAAATATTTGAAACCTCAAGCATTTTTGAAGAAAAATTGTTCAGTGCCCTCGGCACATCATGTCACAAACCAATCACAATACATCATGCTCTCTTACTGTTCCCTTGTTATCTAACACAAAATTGTAAATCTCACTTCATTCATCAAATTACAAAAGCTATAGCAACTGCTCTAGTCACAAATAACACATCTACTATGTCATTAACTACTCATGATCTGTCAGATAAAAAAAATTAAAAATTGTAAGGCATGAACTTATTGTAAGAATATGCGGATGGTTGATTCACATCTGCGAACACACATTTGCGCAGGTGGCCAATGTTTTTTTCCTCTTCAAATCTCGTATCGAAATATTTACATATATTGAATTGTTAAATAATTTCAAGGTATAGTAATTTCAGAGCATAATTCAATAAATATAAATGTTTTGAGACAAAAAATAAAAAGATTTGAAAATATATGATCTTATGAGTTAGACACAAAATTCAAAGATTATTTTTTATTATCTTAAATATCATATCAATTTTGATCCCAACTAATTAAGATTGATCGTATGAAAAATACTAAAAATTTGAGATCCCACTTGATTAAAACCAATATCTCTAAAATGATAAAAAGATAGAGCTCTCAATTTTTTTTATTTTTTCTTCTGATTTTACATGCTATAATTGTTGGGAACCAAATCTAACGTCGTAGCCTGTACCACTAAACAATTTTCTCCAAATCATTCCTTAAAACGTATTCCTACACAGTTTAACTAGAAATGAAAAGGTAGTTGGTTGGCATGTTAGCAGGGATGGAACTAGGAGAAGATTATGAAGGGTCATGGTCTCCTTGTTTCTATAAAAAATATTGTTTTTCATAACACTTTAAAAATATATATATCATTTTATACATAAAATGACCCCTTAATATAAGAACACGTATATCTTATTATTCTCCTATCTTACCTTCTTTTTCTATTTTATACTAATTTTTTTTTTTCATCCTATTAGAAATTACTTCTATGATATTTAATTTTTTTTCTATGTATATATAATTTGTATATTATAATATACATATATGTATATTTGTATATTTGATGATTTTTTTTTTTAACCCTTCTAATAATAAAATCTTAATTTCGTCCCTGCATGTTAGCATCTTGAACCAAGTTCAGTAGGAATAAAGCCTAGAGTTAATGGGAGAGGTGAGAGAGAGAGAGAGAGGAGAGAGTGGCCGACACTGGAGTTTACTGATGGGCCATAGGGCAGGAAGCAAATAGACCAGCCCACGGTCAGTAGTCCAATTTTACAAGGGCTGTGTGGGGTCTACCTAGCCATTTTGTCCAAGATTTGCTGTCGGTAAGCCTTTCTCACCAACTTCCACATCTCTTTTTCTACTTTCTATACTTTTATTTATTTATTTTATTTGTCTCTGTATGTTGTTTTACCATTATCTATATGGAAAATGCTTTACAATTAAATTAACGAATTATATATATATATATATTTATATAAAATACTAATTGATTTGTCATTTAATAAAAAAAATTAAAAATTAAATAAGATCTATTTTATGACATAATATTAATAGATGTTATATTAATAAATAATTTTTTTTTTTTATAAAATATATTAATTTGTATAATATTATCTATACCCTATACTGACATAGGCCATGAACCCACACGGATTGGTTCTTGGTGGATGACACTGCCTAATCAAATGGTTATTTGAAGAATACTACAGGGACAGAGCGCGCATAGAATTAGACGATACTACTAGTAACAAACACTAATGTTGGTACTCTTTGTTGAACAAACACTAATGTTGGTACCCTTTGTTGCAATTTTAAATGGGTTGGTTTATATTTTATTTTTATTTTTGAATTAATAGCAGAAAAAAAATTTCAACATAAAATAATTAATGCATAAATTATTTTTACTTTCATCATTTTATAATTATATTTTTACTTTTCACTTTTTTTTGATATTCTCCCCTTTTGATTTTTGTACTCTAATAATAATAACTTAAATAAATAAATAAAATTATTTATCTTAAAACTGTGAGAGGAATATTTTCAAAATTTGGTTATAATTTATTAACTTTCAACATAAAAAAAATTGCACCGAATCCATTCCATATCCCCCAAAAAAATAAAAAAAAAATTTAAAATTAAAATGCATGGACAAATTATTCTGGTTATGATGCACAATACATTAATTTAAATTAGTATTCTATACTATACTTTCTCTAAAAAAATTAATTATTTTTTAAATGTGACATTATTTATGTATTTTTTTTCTTTTTGGGTCAATGAAAAATCTCAATATGCACTAAATAAATCATTAAATCGTTTCTAATTGGCCAACAAAGTGGATTGATATTATGGAGTTTTCTTAAGTGTGCAAGTGCACACCATGTGCCACTTATACAAAAAGTGTAAGTGTAAGGTGTAAGTATAAGTATAAGTATAAGTATAAGGTGTAAGTGTAAGGTGTAAGTGTAAGGTGTAAGGTGTAAGTGGGTTGCACATAGTGTGCAACCTCAAAAAAGGTGTAAGTGTAAGGTTTAATTTTTTACAAAAGGTGTAAGTGTAAGGTGTAAGTGTAAGGTATAAGGTGTAAGGTGTAAGTTGCACACCATAACCAAACCCTGATATTATTTCACCTATAACAATTTTCAGCACACCATTGATTTAAAGTACGACGTGAATAATGACACATAACACTTTCAAATTATATTTTTATATGCATTAAAATCAAATTACAAAATGGAATACATCTCACGTGAAGGAAAATTATACAATAGTTTCGGAATATCACGTGATTGTACTCCCTCATCAATTACCATTTATTATGCTTTATCATGTGTTTTAATCACCCAACACAATATCCCACTTATCTACCTTCTTCACCAATTACAATACCAAAGAGTTCCACGTGTTCATATTCTGAGACAACTGAATAATCATCCTCATGTGAATGAGACGTGCTCCATAATTAAAAAGTATAAAAGAATATAATAAATAATAATTGATAAAAGAATATGATTTCGTGCTACTCCGAAATTATTGTATAATTTTTCCCCACCTAGTTAGCATTTTTGGTATCTAAAAAAACGGAATGTAGCCAACCTGACGTGTCATTCCTTTAGGGTTGCAACTCCTATATATATACCAATTCCCAGCATTAGCAACATGATACATCCTCACTACAAGCAAACTGTCGTTACAAATACTTCATCTCTCTCTAGATATCTCCTTTGCTAATTCTTTCGTTTATATTCACTTCAAGGTGGGAGTGTTTTTTATTTTTTAACTTCTAGCTTTCGCATCTAATCAATCAAACCAGAAGAACAAAAAATGAAGCTGCTATCAAGGAAAGCTACGCGCAACTCTCACGGCCAAGACTCCTCGTACTTCCTGGGATGGCAGGAGTACGAGAAGAACCCATACCATGAAACTCATAATCCAAACGGAATCATTCAGATGGGCCTCGCAGAAAATCAGGTTATTAGATAGCTCTACGCTACAGTAATCGTTATTATTTCAATATATTCATTTATTTTTGTAATGTTTTTAGTTAGCTCAATTTTAACATTGCTGTGCAGCTCTCTTTCGATCTTCTAGAATCGTGGCTCGCAAACAACCCCGATGCAGCCGGGTTCAAGAGAGACGGACAATCCATTTTCAGAGAGCTGGCTCTCTTTCAAGATTATCATGGCCTTCCTGCTTTCAAGAAGGTAAGCATTGGTTACAAATCAATGCAATCATTTAAAAGACCCTATTCATATCCATGGTAAAACATACAAAAATTTATATCTAACCTTAGTATGTATATCATATGCAGGCATTGGTAGAGTTCATGTCAGAAATTAGAGGCAACCAAGTAACCTTTGATCCAAAGAAGCTAGTTCTCACAGCTGGTGCTACTTCCTCTAATGAGACCCTTATGTTTTGCCTTGCCGAACCCGGCGAAGCTTTCCTCCTCCCCACGCCATACTATCCTGGGTATGTACATGTCATTCCATAGTTAACGATCTCCTGTCTCCAAATCATTTTATTCATTGAATCATATAAAAATCTCGAAGCACGGAGAATTTTAAATCATGGTGTGTTGTACACTGTAAAGGTATTGACCTCATTATTATGTTTTTTTTTTTTTGCTAATAATATTCCATATTTCATGCAGATTTGATAGAGATCTCAAGTGGAGAACTGAAGTCGAGATCGTACCAATAGAGTGTACGAGCGCAAATGACTTCCGAATTACTGAATCAGCACTCGAAGAAGCTTATGAAGCTGCCCACAAACGTAACCTTAAAGTTAAGGGCGTGTTAGTCACGAACCCCTCCAATCCACTCGGCACGACACTGACCCGACACGAGGTCGACCTTTTGCTCGGTTTCGTCATCGCAAAGTCGATCCATCTCATCAGCGATGAAATATATTCTGGTACCGTTTTTAGCTCTCCGCGCTTCATCAGCGTCATGGAGGTTCTCAAGGACACCAAGTACCGCATGAACGCCGAAGTCTGGAACAGAGTTCACATTGTGTATAGCCTTTCTAAAGACCTGGGTCTTCCTGGTTTTCGAGTTGGTGCGATTTATTCCAACGATGAGGATGTGGTGGCGGCCGCAACAAAGATGTCGAGTTTTGGTTTAGTTTCTTCACAAACTCAGTATCTTCTCTCGGCAATGCTTTCGGACAAGAAGTTCACCAGCAACTACATTTCCGAGAATCAAAAGAGGCTCAAGGAGAGACAAGAAATGCTAATTTTAGGCCTTGGAAGCGCCGGAATTAGCTGCCTGAATAGCAACTCCGGGTTGTTCTGTTGGGTCGATATGAGACACCTTTTGAGGTCCAAAACATTCGAAGCAGAAATGGAGCTTTGGAAGAAGATTGTTTACGATGTCGGCTTGAATATCTCTCCCGGTTTGTCGTGTCACTGCAACGAACCGGGTTGGTTTCGCGTTTGCTTCGCCAACATGTCAGCCGAAACGTTGAATCTCGCAATAGAACGAATCAAAAGGTTCGTTCAGTTGATCGAAATCAACAACAATAGTAAGAAGAATCACCAATCAACCAAGAACTCAAGGAGAAGATCACTCACTAAGTGGGTTTTTCGATTATCGTTCGATGGGCGCGAGTCTGATGAACGATAATTGCCTGTAATTAATTAATTAATTTACCAGAAGAGAGTCGATACGAAGAGTCATGAGCAAAACAGTTATTCCTTTAATTTTTTTTTCTCAATATTGAAATGTTGAGTTAATTATTGTTATTATTATTTGTAATTTTCTTTGTCAATTTTTAATATATTTGGGAGTACTAGAGAGAGTGCACTCTGTCCATGTGGATTAGAAGTGGCTTTCGAGTTCTTCCACGAGATCATGTATCTTCTTGAATTTTTCAAACTAGTATAAATGCATCATATGATTATGATTTGTTCATTTTTTGAAATTTGCAAAGTTCTAACATGTAATAATGTGTCTCATGAATTTATACAAATAGTATCATGGCCTCTAATAACGGCAGCGGCGGGAATAGCGGCTAGAGACGGTCACGTGACGCATAATGCCGACGTTGGCCGTTTTGTTATAATTAATTGAATCGTCAACCGAACGGACGTTTTTATATAAGTAGGATAGGATTAGGATATCTTTTAACTAAAGTCAGACTCATCAAATGAGTCAAAAAGCCATTTTTGTGTTTTTAACCCTAACTCGAGACTTCTCACATTTTTTTAGATTAGAATATAGATCAAAGAAAGAGTATAAATCAAGAAAGAGTGATGTTGTGATGGTTAAATTTTTTTAAGAGTACTATATAAATGAATTAGTGTTACTAGTTGATATAGCATGTAATATTGAAATTTAAGAATAAGAAAATGTTTTTAAGATTTATTATTAGGCGAATTATACTAACGGTCTCCATAGTTTAGACATTGTGTTACTTTGGTCTTTAACTTTTTAATTGTGACACATTTGACTCTGAATTTTGAATCTTGTTCAAAATAAGACAATTGAAGATACTATTGCTTAATTTTAAGGGTAAAGTCATTAATTTGATAAAATATAAACTAATTTGACAAAAATAAATGTCAAACAAATATTTTTGAATTTTTAAAAATTATTTCTACCTACTAAAGATAAACTTATGTAAAATTGATGATTTTTTTAGACATTTATTTATTTATTTATGTTTTATCAAATTAATTTTTATTACGTGTTTGGATGATGATCATGTAATGGGTGATTATTTTTATTTTCATTAAATTAGTTTTTATTTTTTCAAAAGTCAAATATGACGACAATTTTGATATCATTATTAAACCAATCCATTAAATCAAAAAATTCAAAACTAAAAATATTACATATATTAAAATATATCGATTACACATTAAAAGCCTAACAACCACCCATTACATGATTATCATCCAAACACATAATAAAAATTAATTTAGTAAAAAAAATAAAAAAATAAATGTCTAAATGATTTATCAATTTTAAATAAATTTTATCTTTGGTGGGTATAAATTATTTTAAAAAATTCAAAAATATTTTTTTAATATTTATTTTAATCAAATTAGTTAATATTTTATGAAGTTGACGACTTTGCTCTTGAAATTGAACAACGATATCTTCAATTATCCTTATTTGGAACAAGATTCAAAATTCAGAGTTAAATGTGTCATAATTGAAAAGTCAGGGATCAAAGTAACACAAGTCTGAAATTATAAGGACTGTTAGTGTAATTCACCTTTTATTATTTTGTACAATATTTCTTAAGTTTCATACCAAATTTAATTACAAAATTATGAAAATTTAATCTAGCATTGCCTCATCCAAATTTTTTTTTTAAAAAAAAAAATGGTAAAAACAAGTTGTGTGAAATTGAAAAACGTCACTCACTACGCAAGTGGTAGAGTTTCTGGCAAGTTATCTTGAAGTTCAACGCTTTGAACTTTATTCACTTTCTCTAAAATATTTTTATTTTTTGTTTTGTTGTCTTATAAAGGGTTAACGCGGTTTCAATGCCAAATGCCAATTAATTACAAGATTGCACTCTGAAGGAGTCAAGTAGTGAGTTTAGTTTTGAGGGAACATGGTTACCCAAAAGTATTATTTGATTAATGGGCTTTGAACCAATTTTAAATTAAGCATGTTTCCTTACGTCAATGTTCTTGTGTTCATACTTATTAATAACCCCCAACCGCCCCATAGGGTTACAAAAAAATTTCAACAATGTATATTCTTTAAAAACAAGTTATAATATAATTGACAGTAATACTACATCTACACAATTTTGTCTCCTCATAATCCTCCTAATAAGGTAGCAAAACAAAATGTATGTAAGGAGAGTTTTGAAGAAATATTTACAATAGTGATTTAGACCCCCTCAAACTTCAACCCCCACCACCCCACACACACGTGGCGGGTGGTGATTGGAGAAGAAGAAAAAAAAGAAAAAGAAAAAGAAAAAGTGACTAATCAAAAAAGAAAGGGGGTGGGGGAAAGGGGGTCCCAATCTTTATTCAAATATTTAAATGTGAGTCAATTTTTCAAATTTTGTTTGCCACATTATTTGGGGGTTTGGGAGAAAGAAATTGTGTGAATGAATTATTTTTCTATAATTTACGCAAGCAACTCCTCTCTAGTCTACTAGTAGGTGCTATTTGAACCAGTTTTATCACGGGTCTCACTTTAATGTTCTATGTTTTTTTTGTTTTGTTTTGTTTTAGACTACAACATATTGATCGTCCATGAAAAAAATAGGTCAATTTAGTAATCATAGACACATTAGTTTATTGCATTTATCTTCCAATATATAAATAGTCTAATTTTTAAATAATATTTGTCGTTTATTTTTTTTACAACTAAATACCATAAACTTTAATAGCTACGATTATCGAATCACCTGCTTTTTTATATGAATAATTTATATGTTGTGATTTAAAAATAAAAAATTTAAATTATCAAAGTAGAACCATAATGAACCTTAAGAGCTTAAACAATAGCATATAATTCACAAAGTGAAATAGAGATAAGTTGCTTCTTCTATTTAAATAGAGGACTTCTAGGCAAGAAGAGCATGCCAGAGATTAGATCATGGTAACGGAAGAATGGTCAGTGCTGTGATCAAAAAAACAAAAAGAAAGTTTGGACAGTGCCGTGTAGACTGACAGGAGGCAGATTCTAAGTAGGTGTTTGTCATGCATTAAAAAAAACATATTTATATATATATATATATATATAATATTTATCTATATTCCATCTCTACTATTCTCCTCATTTTCTCTACTTTTTCATATATTTTTTTTTTATAAAAAGTTAACAAGTGCACTTATTTAGAAAATCCCAAACCACCCTTAACAAGAGTGAAAATGTCAAACATATGCTAAATTTTTCTACTAGCAATATTTTGAGTATCATTTCACAGATTCTACTTTATGCTAATGACATTATTTAGTTGAATCAAGGTTTTAGTTTGACAAGTTTATGTGAACGGAACTTTTATTTTATTTTTATTTTTCATTTTTTATGTGTATTATATAGTTGAATACAGTCCTCACGAGATCCATACATTTGGTGAAATCTACACACGGGAAAAGATTATATTTAATTTTGTGACCAGAAATTGTGCACTTCAATTTTTTTAAGGCAAGTAATCACACTCCATTTATGCTGATCATATAGCTCGCTCGCCCTTACTGTTGTATCTGTAAATCTTTGTTGTATATGATCAAATTATCTTAGCATATTCTCTCTCAACTTATCTTTATATGTGCTACTTCTACTGTTTATAAATATATTTATTTCTAACTCTATCTTTCCTAATCTTATTACTCATTTATCTAAATATTTTCATTTTGATTACACTCATTTTAAGCACATATTAATTTTTAGTTACCCCATTCGTCTGTAATGTAGAACATTGCTATAATTGTTCACCATGAACAAATAATAAATTATGCCAATGACCTAGTACATACATCTTTTATAAAAGTTTGAATACACATTGGGGAGCCCTAAAGGTTACAATGTGAAAAAAATCAGTTGGAGTCGGAGAAGGATAATCGGGGCCCAACTATTACAATTAATTTATCATATCCTAAATTCTGCTCAAAGTAGACTCTCAATTGAACATGTATCTTATTTTATATGTATCTGTACATATATATTTGAGATCAGAGAAGTTGGAAAGATCATTAAATAATCTTTCTTTTCCTCAATATATATATATATATATATATTATTAATGATAATAAAACATTACAAAAAAAAGAGGAAAAAAAAAAAACACAGATGGGCAATGTTCAATCCTAAAAAACACTCCTTTGTGAAAAGAAAAGAAAAGAAAAATTGTTACATATATATATATGGATTGGGAAGAGCATAAAGCAAGATTATACAAATTTGAAATTTTTCTTTCAATTAACTTTTGCATTGTCACCATGATGTGCGGCTAATAGGTGTTGAATTTTGTCCTAATAATAGCATGTGAGGAGTAGTTTGATAGCTCTTGTATTAGTAGAAAAGAATAAATCAGTTGTGAAATAAAATAATTAATTGTGGAACTGGGAATTTTGGTCTATTCCCATGTTCTTCTCGACTACATACATGTGCTCTGCAATGCATATTTGATATCACTCACTCTAGTTGAACCTTGCAGATTCTAAGTGTGTAATATGATTAAGGCACACACATTGATCTTCATTTATTTGTTTTCTGCTAATATATATATATATATATAAACATGTACATTATTTAAATCACTTTTTTATTATTATTTTTTGATCAGCACATTATTTGAATCACTTGTCAACAGAGTTTTGTTTATTATGTTATTACCTCAATGTATCTGAGATTCTGGTCGGTTGATTATATTTATAACAAATTTTGGAATCCTCAAATTTATTTATTTATGCAATTACTTAACATGAATATATGTTTATTACATTAGGCAGTTGCTGAATTGGTATATAAACAATGATTAGTGATTCATTCACACAATTTGTTTTGCCTGAATGCAGACAATTGAGACTCTGACCCGTAAGAGTTTCAATTGTATACATTTAGGTAGAACAAATTGTGTGGATGTAACAGTGCTGATAAAAAATGTATAATTTTTTTTTCCCTTTACTAAAATAATAAATCAGAAATATTTTATACTCAAAAAAATTATTTAAAAAATTTTCTTAGACTTTGAATTTATGTAAATTTAAAATTTTATTACAGT